AAAAGCGAAATGTTTTCAAATTAAAAAATTTACACTTTTCACAAGTTCAAATTAGAGGAGATGATTCATGATCAACGCGCAGGTGGTCATGAATCTTCTTCTCTAGAGTGAACTCTGTGAAAAGTGTAAATTTTCTAAAACATTTCACTTTTTACGTTTCCGCCCTAAAGAAAATATTATGTAACCGATATCCTGGGTTCTACCGTTAAATTTGCCAAACATAGGAGTTCTGTGTATATTTTTGCTGCAACTTGAAGATCTGAAAGCTAAGTAAGACGACAAGCTGCTGAAAGAGGCCAGCGGGAAACTAAAGAAAGGAATAGAAAAAAAGAATATGAAAGAAATAGCCCATGCCGAGATAATACTTGCAGGTGCTTCAAAGCTTCTCGGGGAAACGCAAGAATAAAAGAAGGAAGTTATAGAATCAAAGAAAAAGCTATAGATAAGGGAAAGAATAATCTTGTAGACTATTTTAACAAAAAATCAAAGAGAGAAAGAGTAAATAACGAAGTTTGAGATGGATATTGGTTAGACCGTAACTAGACTATGCTTGTTTTTTTTTTGTTTTTTGTTATTATTTTTTTCTTATATATGTTAATTTTATATTAATTCTGCGTTATCTTCTCATTTGATGTATGTGTTAAGTTTTAATAGATATGAAACTGAAAGATGACATGTATATATTTTTCAAACATACTGAGAAGTTCTCTTTTTATTTAATAAAAATATACTATTTACTTCATTTAATAAAATTGTTTCGAAAGTGTATTTGCATCGTTCATGCCTTTGGTCTCCTCTTGTTATAAACTTTTAAACCGTACTATAAAAAGAACTCGTTATATATCAAATTACCCAAAGATATGTAAGACAGATAAGAAGGTGAGAATAAGTATTACTTTTTTGCTTAAGTATTTAATTACTCTCGGAATTTGATATAAAATGCCATCTTTGGTCATTATTTTGATGTCTGAGAAGTCACTTTTTGTCACCTTTTCTGCCAAGGAGTAGTCACTATTTCACCTTTCTCCTTCCGGTGGCTGGATGGCAACGCCGTTAATGCGTGACCGGTATTCGAGAATATAAACAGAGAAGCGACGCATAATTAAGCGTTTAATTTCACGGGTCACGAATCGAATTAATACCTCAGACGGTCCTACCGTCCCGCTTTACGTCGCGGTAATTTCGGATAAACGCGCGGATTAAAAGTAAACGAATGTGCGGGGAATCCGAGGCGTTCGCGGTTTCTTCCTCCCGATACATAGTTATCGTCGTTATCGCTTTTATATCCAACGTTGTTTATCCCGAACACCCGGTGGCGTCTCGGTGGCTCCATTCCGTGGAATCCCGGAATAAAGCGCGCGAGTGAAGAATGCAACTCGCCTTTGCGCGATATCTCGGCGCTTACTTTACATTATTCGATAGGAATAGCGGCCTCCGGGTGTACGGATGGTGGATAACGCTAACCTCTTACGATACTTAACGCCCTCCCTACGGACCATAATTCCTTAAGACGCTATTTCCCTTAGCTCAGTGCGAGAGGACGTTGCCTTACGCAATCATCGCCGCTGGCGCAGGATTTCTCTCGGGAGATGCGTGGACGCCGGTAAGATTTCGGAGAGGGAGGGGGGGGAGGAGCGACAGGAGGGAATGCACTAACGCCAGTAGAGAGAGTACTTTTCCTAGGAAAGAGGTTTTTTATACGCTTATCTTGAACAAACACGACTATTCGTCGCGTTTTAGTATTATTGCCTCGTATCCCCGTCCTCGTGGAAATTCTCGGAGAGATTTCGCGTAACTTAAAATTTAATACCTTTTCCTACCGGCGAAGAAAAAAAAAACGAATCGGAGAAGAAACGACCATATATTTGTACATTCGTTAATTGCGATCAAACGCACGCACGAGATTGACGTGGCGTTTCCCGACGTGAATATTTGCCTTCCTATCTCGGGTAAATTTCGGTAAAATCAGAAGGATACCTTTTAAATCACGGCTCGGAATATATTCATAAGTTGGAATAACAATATTCAGTGCTTCCACGATGATGCATCTTTGCGTTTTACGTACGAATAAAAATCACGCCGCCACGTTTGATACGGAAGCGTTAAATCATTTGCGATGCATCGTGCGATTGATTTCGAGCGGCTCGCGGCGACTCGCTCGAAAGTTTCGCGCGCGTTTCTGTCCAAGTGCGAACTCGGAGAGGAAAATTCGGAGGAGAAGAAGTGGAAGGGAAAAAAAGAAGAGAAAGATAAAACGCGGAGATCTCCTCGTAGCCATCGTCGCAACTCTAGCTGCATTCCCCGCGCTCGTTGTCTCCTCGCAGACATGCAGCCTCGTTCCACCCTCATTGCGCAAAACCACTTCTTCCCGGGTCGACCGCACTACTTCGGGACGCACTGTGGCCTTTCATCCGATCGTCGGGGCGAGATCGCGGCAAAGGGTTTTCACGGCGAGAAGGAAATATTGCGAGAGAATTCCCCTTACGCCGCGGCAGCGCGCCTCATTTGAACTCTGCAGCAGCGAGCCGGAGGGCGGAATAAAACGCAGAGAAGAAGCCCGCAGTGGCGTAGTTAGAACTTTCGGCGATGCTTCCGAACCGTGACTGCTATAATTTCGCCCCCTATTAATCCTGAAACGAGCCGCTTCTGGCGGAAGTGATAGTAGTTCAGTTTTAGAGCGTGGTGCGAAATGCACGGGGATGAGGGCGGGTAGCGTTTGGCACTGATTTCTGCATCTTATTTCTGCATCTTGGTTTCATTTTTTCGAAAAGTACGAAAATACGCACGGTGGAAAAGTGTAAACGCGGGAATTAATGATCTCTCGTTGGAGGAGCGCGAGGTACGCGAAGGTAAATTGGACGCGTTTCGAGTCGACCCCTTGACTGCCGATGGCGGGAATTTTCGCCAGTTTGGACTTCGCGTTCCCTACCGCAAACATTCATTTTCTCGTCATGAGATATTTTGTTACATCAGAGCCTCTAAATGTTGAATTCGATTTTTGAGTTCCGATTTGCACAATGTTACCTTAGAAAAAAGACATGCCTGTCAGAAATATTAGAATTTGTCGAACTATCGAATATTCTCGTCATGTGATTTTGTTATATTAAGATTTAATAATGAATGAAATATATAATATTTAGGTAAGTGTAATAAAGTTAATATTTAGATAAGATATAATATTTAGATAAGTTTAAAAAACGTCTACGTTTATTGCAAATTAACGTCAAAATTCATTTTAAGTTTGCCATATTAGCCGCCATTATGACAAGAAATTGTTTAAATTTGACTTCAAATTCGTCATCGGTATTATCAAAAACCTTTCTATATAAACTTTAATTAATTTTCGAGAACTTTTTCCTCCTCGCATTTTAAGACCAGTCGAAGAAAATGGTGTGGCTATGAAGAGGTTAAAAGAAATGTTGAAGGGAGTTATTTCGCTCTAAAAGCAGTATAACTTTATATTATACGCGCATTATTTTCATCGCGATACGAATTATGAAAGTCAAATTTTCTGCGATGAACAAAGAAACTTTTATTCTGCTTTACGTGAGAACAGCATAATTATTTTATTAACGATTAATTTATTTCGCATGAACAGAGATATTTAATTTAATTTAATTATTCAATTTAAAAATTAATTACAAATGTATGCGCACACGAAGACTCGCTTATTGTAATATTTTAATTAAGAACGATGGGAATTATATTTTGTTGAAATTTAACGTACAACTGATGTCCTAAACATTTTTCTCGGACTATTTTACGCGAGTTAGAACGTATTCATAAGAAAAGTACATATTTTATGTACGTTTCCGGAAAAATGTAAACGTATTTTCCAGGAAAATAAGTCGAGCGCTTTTATACGCGCGAGTTGTAGGTACGCATTTTGTATGTGTATATATACGTTTCTGTGACAATTCGACGTTACCCACTATAAAGATAACTTGTTTCAATTTACATGTAAAGCGTCCTGAAAAGTTATATCCGCCGTTTCATTACCACACACACACACATACATATGTACTCAGTCGTCATTATAAAAGCAGCCTCGATTCATTAAAAAATAATGCTCCACTACCTGGAGCAATCTACGGAGTATTCTGGGACTAGACGGAGCGCGATCTTCAACACTTCTTCGTTTAAAGACAGAATTTTTCGCCGCTTATACTGCGTCCCATTATTCACTCCTGAGTACATCTCTAACGAACGGCACCTATATTCGAGGCACCTCTCGCAATATCTCGATCGAGATAAAATTTCTAAGACGTATTTCTCGAACATCAATGGATCCCCCAAATGATCCTTCGCGTATCTTAATCAACGCTAATTTTTCCGCAGAAAAAAAACTAAACGTAGTCTACCATAGGTGTACTACGAGAGATATTCCTCACCAATCAGAGAATATAATTGTTATATAACGTAGAAATAACACGTAACATAACGGCTGCTATACGTTATTTATGTTGAGGTAACATAGTCGAGTTTGTATGCACACAATGTAACTGTGTTTCAAAACTGTTATTTATTATGAGTTATGACACACAGAATAACAGCAATATAACTTAAATATAACATGTTATGTAACAAGTATAATGTTTGCATTACTTCTACGTTATATAATATTTGTTATATATATATCTCTCTCTCTCTCTCTCAGACCGTCCGTTAAATTGTTCTCATGTGTAAAATATAATGTGTTAACATATACAAGAATGGAGAGGACGTTACATTTTCGACGTTTATCAAGTTCGTCAACGGATATAGCGTCCCCTCGATACTCTGAACAAATCTTTTTGCTGTCGAAATTTTCTCCAAACAAATCTTCTTGCCCCTACAGTAATTAACGATTTGCTGCGCCGGAGCAAAATCTTTTTCCTCCGTCGGTCTCCGCTTCTTCATTGCACACCACGGTGACCACGGTTGAGCTCCGTTAAGAGCGAGAGCGACGGAGACGAGTATTCGCACCGAGCTGACCGCACCTCACGACTATATAATTACAGACGGCGGGGGTGCCGAGGGCGTGGGCGACGCACGGCGGCGAGGACGTGCCGGTGTTCGCGATCGGGCCCCTCGCGAGCACCCTGTTCTCCGGCAGTGTCGACCAGAGCTACATCCCGCACGCGATCGCCTACGCCTCCTGCCTGGCCCATCACGCCAGCCGTTGCTCCCGGGATCCTACGAACAACGCCAATGCCAGCGACACAATGAACGCCGCGCCGATAAGCTGTCCCTCGGCGGAGCCCAACAGCGCGGCGATATCCAGCGACGTGATGAACGACCAGGCGCGAAATCCATCCACGAAATCCGCCGCCGGGCCGCGTCGTTCATCGGCCGGCCCGTCGTCGTCGTTACTACTGCTGCTGCCGGTGTTGTTGCTCTCGCTGTCGTCCGGCGTTGTCCGCCCGATTCCCCGGTGTCCCTTCGGAAGGACGAGTTAATGCGGCCCCCTCTTTCGCGTTCGAGGACTGGAAGGGCTCAAGCCCCCGTGACGTCGGTGGTACATGACACGGCGGAGGAAGCCGGCCGAAATAGCCGCATCCTGGCGGCCGCCTAATAAAGGTCGACGCGCGCAGTGACCGCAGTGTAAATTTGACGGGGCCGGCCCGCTCTCTCTCTCTCTCTCGTTCCGAACGAGTAGTGATCGTTGTGCGTCTCCCTGTGACCCGTTAAATGGGTCGTTTGCTCTCAGCAACGTCACTCACCGCAGAGGTCGCCGAGAAACGTCGCCGGTGCGTGCCAACGGTGCGATATAGCGGCGACGCGCAGACTTCGGGGAAGCAGCCGTAGAAAAGCTGCGTGAGGAAGAGAGACAGCTTCTCGAGGGCGATATAACGGCGGAGGATCCTTCATCACCGATCTCCTCTCCAGGAGGAAGCGTATTTGCATTCCTCGTGAGAGTCGACGGCCGACAAATGACGACGGATCGGGCGTCCGTGGACGAACGCCCGAGACAAAAAGAAGATACGCACGCGCGACGTATCCTTAATCCTCTCATGCATCCTCGGTCTGCTATCGGGACGATCCATCGATTCCGCCTCCCGTCTCGTGTAATCATTTTTAATTTAATTATAATTGATACAAGTTCTTGTTTGAAGTTCGCTGCCCAAGAATTCCGCAAACTTTCCGCAGCTTCTTCGGCGCGAAGAGAGTTAGCGAATTACAGAAGCAGGATCTTCTGTTCTCACGCGTTATTCCATAACTTTCGCTGAAGGAAATTGTAGAATTTCGTCATGCAATTTTCGCCCTTTCGGTTATCGACGAGCTGCGCTTCGAATTTTCGTACTTAATGCCGATTATTTAGCGCGAATTTGTTTTTAAACTCTTAGCTGTGGCGCACGTTAGGACAATATGTGATTTTTCCCTAGGACAAAAAGTGAAAACGTGAAAAGTTACGTGAGAATTATCTAGACGACAAACGTCCGTTGCACAGAAGAAAGTAGTGCCTAGAATCAAGTAAACGTAATCATATGATTTTTTTTAATCCCTTAAATTAAGTTATATTTTTATCAATTTATGTATATTTTAATAGCTTGTAAAAGAAAGTAAATACTTATTTAATCTCTGAAATATTTTGATTTGTAAATAAATTACTGAACGTAAGTGTAAAATGGTCCTAAATTTCGATTTTTCTATTCGGTAAATACTTTCTAAAAATAAATTCTGATATTCTCAATGAGCTGCAACTTTCTCAGAATGTGTATATACGCTCTTCGAGGCTAAAAGGTTAATAATGAGAGCACAACTGCACGGTTACTTCCCTACACGGTTTTTCTTCCCGATCGAAGCGGCGAATCCTTGCGTGAGGGGATTAATTTTATCGGGTTATCTCTAGCGCCTCCGATACAGATTGACTCTGCACAATGTTTCGGAGCTACCGCTGCTCCTTTCAGCCGTGGACCGTTGACTTGGCAGAATCCAGAATTTCCCGATGAAAATGAAGATCCCGACGACGTGAAACTCGTTCGAAATTAATGTTCTTTCCGGAGGGGCTATCGTGAGATTTCGGAGAATTAGATCTCTCGTCCAAGGGAACGACGTTTTCTGCTGGGAGAAAGTCAACCTGGGATATCCAATTCGAAAGGAACGACGGTCCCGATACATTACGCGTACATCGAACATCCCTTCGCCCATCTCCCGAGCTACGAATTGGGTAATTCTCGGGAGCATGTTTCCGCGGGAAATCTCCCGGTACGCGGTGCAGCACGTGACAACGAACCGAGTGATAACACGGCCTCTTACCGATCCCGGCTGAACTAGCAGATAGGCCGTAATGTATGAAATAACTCTCTCTCCCGGCCCGCGGGGGAGTTCCGAGTGTAATATGTAAATACATTAAGGACAAAGGGCGGACGATGTATAAAATTACACGGGACTGCGCGCCCCCTCACATCGAATGTAAATTACAGGTAGGATTTAATCACCGAATCGCGAGAGACCTCACCGCGCGCAGCGGAGCACCTGCTGATGCACCCCGTTCTGTTCACGCCAGTGTTGCCACCGTCCGGTTTTCCGAACGGTTTTTCCCCGGTTGCTCGGTTCCGTACGGTTGTCCGGTTTTATCCAATTTTGGTTTTGTCGAAATTCAACAATTGGAAAATACATTTCCCTACATGGCGAATATATTAACGGTATTTATTTCCTCGAGGCGCTGAAAGAATGATTGCGTTCACCAGAGAAAGCAGCTCAGTGAGCGCTTAGTGATTGTTGTCTGTGACTAGGGTATTCCTTTACATTCTTGATAGATCCAGGAGGATATATCAATCAAGAGCAATAATCATTAAACGTTCACTGCGGCTGCGTCTCGATATTCACTGCTCGCGTTACGAATCTACAATATACGCGGCGTAATCTGCGGTAATCTGCGGATTTGCAATATTGGCGGTGAATATCGGAAATATATATATTTCGTTTCTTATTGCACGTCTTATATACATTATTTAAATGTATTATTATTACTATTATTGTTATAATATATAAAATAATAAACAGAATACACGTACATATGCACACGCAATCCTGAGACCTCTTTTTTAATCTAGCGTCCGGGTGATCGTTATTAGAAAGGTGGCAGCACTGGTTCACGCTTGCTTGAATTTTTGCACTTTGCTCGTACGATCGTTTGTCGAATCATGATCTATGCGCTCACGACGCGGATATAATCATTTCCGCTGGCTTTCATTTCGTACGATTGGTCGGAGGAAAAACGACGTAAGTCGGCATTTCACATTTCGATTTAATGTCACATACACTCCCTCTCTTTCTCTCTCTCTCTGGCTTACTTCGACTCTCTTGAGTCATGGATTAGTTATCCAAGAAGCAACTGTCGTCACGATGAGACTCAAGGTGGCGATTAGCCGCATGACCGGCGGCGGCAATCAAAGCGAGTCATCATTAATTTCGCGGATTAGTCCGGCACGGCCGACGGTCGTGATTAGATAATCCGAGTCGCTCGTGTTTTGAAATTCATCCGTAATGTATAGCGATTGTGCGCCGCACGAGAATCGAGATTCGCCGGACAGGGTTCATGTATTTGTGACAGGCATCGAGGGAATCGCAGCTGCAAGCTACGAGAGTCCCCTCGGTACTCAATCCTTCAGAATCCGTTCTCGCGCAGAGGACACATCTGAGAGAGAGAGAGAGAGACCGAAATTCTATTCCCGCTTTCGACACGGTCGTGCGAATTTTGCGGGGCATTTCGCTATCGCTCATCGCTTTCTTCCACGCGCGCGCTTAATTTCGGCTTTGATTCCGCGGTCTTTTATAAATCGGCAGTCAACAAATTGCTACTACAGTTCTTTCGCGAAGTATGACCTGGAATTGTGCGTGAAGGAACAAAAACGCGCGGTGTTCGTTTGAAAAGCGGAAATCGTAAAATGAAATACGCTTCGTAACGTATTGTGTGCGCGATAACACTGGAATATTATTTTAAATATCGCCGAATTTTAAAGCGTGTAATTTCTTTAATTGGTTTTTACCATGCGTGATATAACACGTGCCGCTTTCATCTTGACGATCTTTCGCGTCGAACAGCGAACGTGCCGGCAAAATTAGCGTGGACAGATCGCAACTTTATTACAAGCTCTTTATCAGACGAATGTTAATAAGTTCACTGGTCAATGTATCACCCGTGATAAATTTGTCAGAAACAATTCAGAAGCTGGTGTATATAATCCATGATACATTCGACTCACCTAAAGTAAACGTAAAAATCACAGATTTCTATTTGAATGAGCATTATTTCATATAATATTTTAGACTTCCGCGGCGTAGAAATATATTTAATTTAGCTACCGAGTTATCGCCGCCGGGTCCTTCATGGATTTGTTTCCGACGTTTCGTGAACACTTTCAATTCATTTCTTCGGGTTAACCCTTTTAATGCCGAGCAAAAGTATCGTATCTATGCGAAGAATACCGAGACAATTTGACGAATTTGCTAAGGTTTGGGAAAAAGCTCATAAAAACCAAACTAAAAATGATATTTACAAAATTAAAAAAACAGCATATTACGAAATAAAGAAAGAATAAAGTAATGCCAATTATATTTCAATATTTGTTGAAAATCATACGAATAACATCAATATAAAACATGATGAAAAGCATAGAAACAAATTTCTTTTCTACAAACAATATTTGCACATAAGAATAATCATCGTTTGATCACAGTTTTATGGAGATCACATAGTATGAAGTATAAGTATTACATTTTCAATCATTTTTAACAAAATAACTAATATCGGACCTGAGAAACTGTCCCGTGTCGAATTTCTACCTTATCGCTCCAGCGTATTCAGAGCCTCGGCACCAGCCAGCATAGAATATAACAAAAGTTAAACCCAAAAACCATTTTTTTAATTCTTTCGCAATGAAATTAGACCGTTTATAACGTTTTATAAATTCATTTTGAGATAGAGCTTTCTTGCAATGCGAATAGTAAGATGCCCTCGGATGCGCGACGATATATCGTCATTGGCACTTTTCGCAAGTATTGCGAACGACGATATATCGTTGTTCGGCACTAAAAGGGTTAAGGAGAGACCCGAAACTGGGGCATTATTTCAATTCGTGGCTCTTCGAGGAAGATGACAAATTTTCCGTGTTCAAACGGCTGCGCAATCTTCGCAGTAAAAACATTTGTATTAAATTTAACATATTTCACGTGTCCAAAACGGCCCACCCAAATTTTTGTGTTAATTTAACACATGTATGTTAACATCTTGATACTATTTGCAAGAAAATTGTACGTTAAATTAACATATTTATAACGTTAATATAACAAATATTATTTTCATGCTAAAAAAATGTTATTTATCACTTTTTTATTATGTTTTTCTTAGAATGTCGTTAACAATTTTGTCCAGAATTTTTTTATTTTATGTGTCATTTAATTGATTCAATCAATATTATATTTGAGAAACATGCCTACCATTAATAATATTTGAACTCGAGATTTAAGTCGCCTATTTTACATAGGGAAAACTGGGGCCAGAAGTTACACGGGTTAGTTGTCACAAAGTTTATATCTCAGTGAATAAATAAAGGAGCATATTATTCTCTACTTCTCGTGTAGGTTGATGATACCGTGTTAGTTAGGTGCACGAAATAACTCATGACTAACGCATCGCAAGTAATACTTATGAACACATTTTTTTCAAATTGGACGTAGTGAATACATTTTTTCTTATCTCTATTTTTATTGTCCCATTGCTATTGAAATTAATGGGTTTTCCTGTATTCATAAGAAATATTGTAGTTATAGCTCATTTTTCCCGAGTTATTTAACCTCGTGTATTTAACCGACGTTGACCGTATTATTGCAACATTGTTCAAGAATATAATTTTTATTTATTTATAATGATCGTTAGGGATCAGTTGGTTCAAATGAAATATATTTTACATAGCTTACGCATGTGCACGGAAGCGTACACATGGATCACCGAATCTTGTTAGAATGAAATTATTTGTTTATATTATGAAATTATGTTCATAGGTGTAAAAGTTTTAGGTAGCTTTTAGTTGTTTTTCCGGGGTCAGATCGAAAGTGTAACCGAGAAACAGGCAGAGGTAGAAATGCACTTTAATTACGTGATATCATTAATTTTAATAATATATTAAAAAAAAACATTTCAAGAGAATGTGTAAACCTTGTTTCCTTTATACAAAAGATACGTGACGTGGGTATGGGGTCAGTTATCTAATTTGCACAATGTTGCTTTGAGCTTGATAACCTTTTTATGCATGAATATACACGAGGCTACTATTTTTTTGAAGTTATAGGTTGCAGCTACATAAAGATATACAAGGATATGAAATATCGTATATATTTTTTAATTTTAATTAAATTATTAAATTTATTTCATTATATTATTATACATTATTTTATTTTAATTAATTCGAATGTAAGAAGTGCGATTTCTGGCCCCAGCCTTCTCTACTATTCTATTTCTATGCTCTAACTATGATATATTTCGTATTGCCTAAGCTGTAAGGTGACCACACCGTTACTG